GATCCACTTCCCTGGAACCAACCAGAGAGCTGGGAATTGGGGGGTTGAGGAGAGCTGGCTATTCCCTCTGTTTCCCCTGGAGCAGGAGAAGATGGGATTAGTGGGATTGATACCAGGAAGGTCACAGATGAGGGCAGACACCGGCTTGTGCACTCACTCAACCACACAGGAGGCTTGGCTGGACCCAGCTGTCCTCCAGAGGAGTGAGTCCCATCCCGGGGCTGCTTTCCCATTGGTGCTGGGAGACAGGCCCGCAGCGCCCACAACCCACGGTGCTAATGCGGCATGGGGTATCCAGGGGCTGTGGGAGCACTAGAGGGTGCTCCCTGAGGGCTCCAAGGAACTTGTGGGAGATGAGGTGAGGCAAGGTTCTGTGGGTGGGGCTGGGGAAAGCCTGGGGGTGATAGAAGCACCGTGGGGGGAAATGCTCTCATGGGGGAAAGGGGCAGAGCATGGAGGACTCGTGGCTCAACTCTGAAGTCCAGCTGGATCATGGGGCCAAGGGCAGTGGCTGAAGGTTTAGGAGGAGGAGCGGGGTGACCACAGTGTGGTTGGGGCAGATCTTTCTACTGTGGTGTGGGAGGGCTGGGGGGAGGACCAGGCTGCTACAGACACCTGAGCCAAGGTTGACAGGAGCTGTAGGCAGCGGAGAGAAAGTCCCTCTCTCCCAGAGGGCTGTCCAGCACGGGGGCTTTGGCTCACCATGCAGGACCACCAGAGGGATTGACTAGGCTTGGTTTAGGAGGAGCTTTCTAGAGCTAACATCCCCTGCTGGGGGTGGGCATGACCAGACAGTGGGGGCGGGCACTCAAGCCTTCCCAGTGTGAGGGTCTCAGGAGGACCACTGCCAACCTTGACGGAGCAAGGATCTCTATGCGAATTGTTTCATGGACTCCTCACCACACCCTGTGAGGTAGATACCATGGTCCTCTTATTTTCCAGTTGGGGAAACTGAGCCCTAGGAGCACCCAGCAAAGATGGGTAATGTGGGGGGTGGCCCTCGAGATCCTTGACTCCAAAAGCCTCAGAGTGGCAGGTTCACTAAGGCGGGAGGGCCCTGGCTGAGGCAGTGCACGGGAGGGGTCTTCAAGATGAGCTAGAATAGCGGTTCTTTACTTAGAATTCAGGGGGGTCCATGAACTTAATTAGGAAAATAATTGCGTCTGTAGTCCACTAGCCTCTAACCAAAACCTAGCATGTCCTTTAACCGTGAACGTAGGCGTGCCACATGCCCGGGACTTCAGCAGCAGCAGAGCCAGGTGCACCTGCTGTGTTTGTAAGCCATGGCCTCCTGTAGCGGGGATTTCAGGGGGTTCAGCCTGACATGTCCTATCACATTTCACAGTGCAGTTAACGCTCATCACAACTTCAAACTCATGGTTGAATAAAGAAGCACATGTATTAGAAGGTTTTTTTTTTAACATTTTGGCAACTATATTTGAATATAATTGGTTTCCTTTGTATTCTATGAGAGCATTTGAGTTCTTGAAAACATTTTGAGAAAAGGCCCATGGGTTTCACCACTAAAGGGGCCAGCCCCAGGAGGGCTGAGACTGGTGGTTTAGGATCAGCCTTCTCCTGGGCCGTTTCCAGGGCGGGCTCCAGCAGAGCTGCCCCCCCCCCCCCCCGCCGCCAGGAGGTGTGCCATAACTAACTGCAGCCGGAGATCCCTGGAGCCCTGCCCGTAAGTGCAGTTTCCACGTATATGCCCAGCCAAGCACATGGTTCCTTCCCTGGGGCTCTGGGTTTAATCAGCGGCACCCTGAGCTGGGCGGTGGTGGATGGGGCATTTACTCTCGGGCCAGCCTCATCTGTTCTGCCCTGAGTAAGCACATGGGGGCAGGATTTTTGCTGTCCCATCCCTGTTGTCTACCACCATTTGGCCACATCTCACCCAAGACCTGAAAGCAGAGGTTGACAGTCTTCTCAACTCTGGGCTAGAGAGTGCAGACCTAGCTTGGTTGGAGCTGCTCACACCCCCATCTCACCTATTCTGGGGCTTCTATCCTCTTGTGACTTGTATCTCTTTTGGGGGCTTTGTGACTGCAGACCTCACTTTGTGGGCCTGGTCCCTCCTCTGTAAAGCAGGCTGGCATGAGATTTGTATCGAATCGTGTTTCCACTGATCCACCCATCCATCCACCCATCCACTCAAACATTCACTCATCCACTCACCCACCCACCCATCCATCCACTCATCCACCCACCTATCCATTCATCTACCCATCCACTCAAACATCCACTTATCTGCCTGTCCATCCATCCATCCATCCACCCATCCATCCATCCATCCATCCATCCATCATCCATCCATTCATCCACCCACCCACCTATCCATCCATCTACTCATCCATCTATCCATCCAACCACCTATCCATCCACCCATCCACCCATCCATCCACTCACCCATCTATCCACTCATCCATCCATTCATCTACCCACCCATCCATCCACGCATCTATCCATCTACCCATCCATCCATCCACTCATCCATCTATCCATTCAGCCATCTGTCATCCATCCATCATCTATTCATCCATACATCCATCCATCCACCCATCCATCCACCCACCCAGCAGTCATGTAGGCTCCTATATGCTAGAAGAGGAGGCAGAGATAAGACACTCAGACTATCAGGCTTCCCTGTCCACCTCTATCCAGTCTCATCTCGCTCACAGTCTCCCATTGGCCTCCCTTTAGCTCTCTGGCCATCTGCAGATTCTGAAAGCCAGGGAGAAAGACCCCCTTGGCGCCCCTCTACATGGAATTCTTTCCCCCAACATACCCAGGGGGAGCTCCTAATAGACCCCTCAGACATAGCTTCCCAATCACCTCCCTGACTGTCCCATAGGTCACATCTATTGAGAGCTTATTGATTGAATGTCTGTCTCCCCTAGGTTCTCAGGACACAGGACAGATGTGTAATGCCCACATGGCCCCATAGGTGTTTGTAAGGGAGGGCAAGAGGAGGACAGGTCAGACAGCAGTGGTCTCTGGAGGGAACAGCACCGGGCCAGCATGGGCAGGCATGGCACCCTACCCCCTCCCTCCTGCACCCCCTCCTGCTGCAGCCACTTCCTCCTTGGCTCCTTATCTCCCAGCTCTGAAAGCCACAGCCAACGTCTGCTTCCCCACAAGCACCAACTGCCTGGCCAGGGAGGGGCAGGCAGGGAGTGGGCAGGTGCCCCCAAGGTGGTCACCAAGGGTCAGGGCCGTCCCCACTCCCCTCTCAGGGGCAACTCTCTACTCCTTCCAGCCAATCCCCCATGGGCCCTGCTGAGTAGAAAAGCAGGCCAGACAGGAGGCCTCTTCCCGAAAGTGGAAGTGTCCCATCTGTGGGGGGTGCTCCCTGCAGGTGTGAGCCTTGAACATCTGCCCAGCCTGGGGGTGGGGGCTGCCCCACCCGGGTGCTGACCTGCAGCCTCCACAAGCGTCTGTGCCCCCAAGTTTTTCTCCCTGGTGGCACTGAGGGGCCTCACTATGAACAGCCTAGAAAGCAGCAGCAAGGACAAGGCACCAACACGCATGCTGACCATGGGCCGGGCCACATGCAGGGCTGTCCCCTGCAGATAGTCCAGGACCCAGGGGACCTGTCCACCCTGCTGCACACCAAGGAGAGGCAGCCAGCTTGGGCCTTGGACCATCAGTCCTGCCCTGAGAGCACAGGTGGGCAGGGAGGAGGGGCTGTGAGGACCAAGTTGAGGCATAGGGACCAGCCTCTGGCAAACAGGACCTTCCCTTCCACCTGACCTCTGGGGGCAGGGGGCAGGCTGGGGAGGGCATGCACATTGAAACCCCTTCCAGGAACAAGCAGGGTCTTGTCCCTGTGCCAACTTCAGAAGGACCCCCACAGAAGCCACCGTGACAAGGCGGTGGGGAGGGTCTTCCTCAGTGCTCTATCTCTTCTGTGCTCCTTCAAGTACTCACCACGTGCACACATTCCTGAGAAAGTCAATGCAATCAAATCAAAATAGCACAGAATCCTGTGTGCCAGCTCCGGGCCTGCAGGCCATGCCTCCAGCCTCCTTAAGGCCTCTGAGCCCGCCGCTGTGGGTGTGGGGCCCGCTGTCTCCCCAGAAGCCCCTTGCTCTCTTGCCTTCCCTATGTGCCCTTCTCAGTATCTACGAGGTACTTGGCACTGCCTTTGCTGAGTGCCCAGTGGGGAGGGTGCTCCGGGACACAGAGGCTCTGACATGGTTTCTGGAATCCCTCAGGCAGGGGGATCAACTCCATTTCTCTCAGCAGATCCCAACCACACTGGTCACTCTTCTCCCAAGGCACCCATTGGGAAGTGGGGAAGGGTCTCCAAGGAGCCCCAAGCCAGGAAGCCAAGCACAGAGAGGAGTGTCTTTGCCTGGCCGACAGTGGTCCTTCCAGGGTGGGTGGGGGCCAGGAGGCCCTGGGCAGCCTAGGGAGATCCCAAGGGGGCCAGGGGTAGGTGCTGGTCAGGGCGCACCCCCAAGCCTGACTCCAGAGCAGGGCAATGCTCACAGAAGTGGCCCCAGAAAGGTGGGCTCTGGGGAGAGTCTACCTGAGGGCAGGGGAGGGTGGAGGTGGTGAAGCACCCCAGGCTGCAGGTAGGGCTGGGTGCGAGCTTCGGGGTGGGGGTCATGTTGAGTCGGGGGCTCCCTTCGGCATGAACACTGTCCCCCAGGCCTGGTGGAGGAAACATGCCCGGCGATTCAGGCCATCCAGGCTGCAGGTGGGTGGGGTGTCACCAGGCTGGCGGGAGGAGGAAGTTGTTGGAAAGTCAGACCGGAATGGCCGTGAGGGAAGGCCAGGCAGGGCCGGGCCCAGATGGTTCCTGCTGAGGAAGCGGTGGGCACAGCTGCAGGCTGCTTCCCCGGCCCCCAGCCTTACTATCACGGTGACACAGCTGGCTGCCTCGCCTGCTGGCTGCGGGGAGACCTCCCCCACCGGCGCCTCCCCAGGCCCGCCCTGCATCACATGAGCCCCTGCGGCCGCCCGCCCCTTCCCCAGGCTGGCGGGCAGCGCGAGAAGGCCCGGAGCTGTCTGGGGCCAGAGGCCTCCGCTGTGAGAAAGCCAGGCTGGCTGTGGCCTCCCATCCGTTCCCCACGCGGTCGGGAAAGGCACTCCAGCAGTTCTGGGGCGCTGGCCTCGTGTCGGCCCCCAGAAGGCTGCCCACCACTCGCCTGGCACCAGGACTGTCTCCCAGACCCACCTCTGGACCCATGTCCCGGGCATCCCCCTTGCTGGACAGCAGGCTCCCGGCGTCCACCAGCGGCTCAGTGCCCCGGGGTCCCAGGAAGGGCGGCCCAGGTAAGGGGATGACAGGGGTGGGAGGGGCGGGGGGGCAGCTGGAGCAGGTGGCTGGAGTGTGACATCTCCAAGCTGCTGCCTGCCCGGCTCTGTTGACAGCACGAGTCAGCCGTGTTGACTCACCTCAAACACCAACACAGCCTCCCCCAGGGCTTGGTCCCACACAGCTGGGACAGGTGGCCCCAGGATGACCTGGCAGGTGCCAGGCTGGGTGTGGCTGCCCCACCCCGAGGCAGATGCTGGAGGTGGGCCTGCTCAGTCCCACCTAGGAGGGAGTGGGCTGTCTTCCTGCGTGGGCAGGGTCCCAGGAGTCGGTGAGGAAGGTGGTGGGGGCCCAGAGCCCTCCTCCTAGGAGGACAGCAGGACTTAAGGTTTGGATGAAGACACTGAGGCCACAGGGAAGGAGTGCTGGCCCAGGGTCCCAGGATCAAGTTATGGTCCGGGACTCAACCCCAGTACCCATCGATGAGCAATCTCTGCCAAGACTCTTGCCCTTTGGAGCCAGTGTCAGAGGGAGGTGGGGGGCAGGGAGGACCCAGGCTGTTCCCCCTCCCCATGGGCTGCTGACTCTGGAGGAGGCCGCCCTGACTCCCCCTGACCCCTGCTGCAAAGTCCCTGCAGGCCTTGTAGGATGTCACCCCAAGACCTGGGAGGCCGGCATAGCTGCAAGCAGGCGGCCGCTCTCCCCAGCCCACACCCTGTGGCCATGTGCAGAGGAGCCTTTGGAACCTTCCAGAGCTCACAGCCCCAAATCCCACTGCTGCAGCCACACCCAGAGTCCAAGTGGACCCCTGACACTCATGTCCAGCAGGCCGACCCAGGGGTGTCTGTCACCTGCTGCTGTCCAGGGGCCCCAGGGCCAGCCCCCGACACTGGCTCCATCAGTCACCTGATACATCCAGACTAGCACGCCAGGTGGGCACAAGGCCACCCTGACACACAACAATGGATGTGCCATTGACTTCTAAGTGTGGGTGATTCAGATACTTCCAGGGAGGTACCAGGTCGCTGGCCCGGGGCACAGTCCCCCACCCCTCGGGCTGGCCAGAGGCTCTGGTCCCATCAAGTTCCTGGTGGGTACCACAGCCCCCTCCCTTCCTGGGGCAGCCCCCGCTGTCCTGGAACTAGCAGCCTGGTTCTGCTACCCACCACTGTGCCTTCGGGCCAACCCGTCCTCACCTGGGCCTCAGTTTCCTCGCGTGTCACATCCTGTCCTCTCACTCCCTGATGGAGTGTAGGAACGGCTTCTTAAAGACTGAGGAGGAAAGGGCAGATGGGGGGGCATCGTGCATGAGAGTTGCTGGTTGCTATTTTGTTTCGATGGGGTGGGGGGTTAGCCCATGGGAGGAATTTGAGGCCAGGAGGTGTCAGGGAGCACAGCTGTGCTCACAACGTCCCCATGGCGTCGGCTGGTCTTCAGGCACCCAGAGCAGATTGGGTGGACCTCTGGTGCAGAATCCCAGCCACCGATCGATTGGCCCTGGGTCGGCGCTTGCTTGGGGGCCCCACAGAGCAGTGGGTTTTGGGCTGGTGTGCCAGACTGGGGACTTCTGTGGGCACAAGAGTCCTGAGATGCTCTTACACCCTGTCTTCACGCTGGCAGCCATCCTGCCCCAAGGATGCCCGAAGGAAGGCACCACCGAAGGAAGCAGGGGGTGGGGCCCAGCTGGGGGAGTCTTGGGAGGTCTGGGGTCTTGGGGGCCAGGACAGGCCTGTGGGAAGCACGGCTCTACCTTGCAGTTTCTGGGGCCCACAGGCACCCCCGAGAGTCCATGAAAACCTTTGAGACCCCAAAACATGTAAAATGGCTCTGAACTATGAACAGGACAATGGAAAGTGACGTCTTTGAAGGGGGGTATGCAACCTTTCTGTCTGAGGGCAAGTGTCTCTGAACGCCACTCTGGCTGCCCTCCTGCCTGGTAGGATGTGGGCACTGGGGACAGGGCACACAACCTTGCCACTCTGGCCATCGGAGTGCCACAGAGCACTGGGCAAGCCCTGAGCAGCCTCGTTGGGGACCTGGGGACTCACCAGCCCTGTTTGTGGCAGAGGTCCAGGATTGCTCAGGACCCTGTGCCTGGTGGACCCGCTCCGGGAGGGAGTGGGGGCTTGACTGCAGAGTGAGAAGGAATGGCTCCCTTCAGAGGAGTGATTACTTCCCACGGATTGATTAGGCGCCTATTGTATGCACCAGGAGCTGTGCAGACACTTGTTCCCATTTTGCAGATGAGGACATTGACAATCAGGCTGCTGTGCCCCCCGCAGGACAGGGGGGAGGGGGGAGCCAGGACACCTGGGAAGGGGTCAGGACGGAAGTACTGGAAGCCCTCCAATGTAGCCTGAAGCAGAGGAGGCTGGAGGCAGACTACCATGATCACCCTAGGGGAGAAACTGAGTCAGGGCTGTTTGGTGCCGCCAGAGAGGGACAAGGTGGGGTCCAGACTGCAGCTGACATGTGACCAGGGGGATAATGAGCATCCCATCCCTGGAAAAGTCCGAGTAAATGCAGGCTAGGACGTTGGTAGGTGTGGGCAATATCCCACAGAAGGTCCCATCCTGACCCTGGAGGAGCCCAGCCTTGGGCCACCACAGTCACCAAGTGGCTTGTCCACCCCAGCGCACTTCCAGCACCTTCCTCACCAGCCTCCTCCCGCTTTGCTGGACCCCAGGCTCTTCTCTGGCATGTTCTCCGCCAGGCAGACCTTTCCCGCCATATTGACTTCCTGGGACCTCTGTGACAATTACCAGACACCAGGTGGCTTAGGAAAGAACTCTATTCCCTCCCAGTTCTGGAGGCGGAGGTCCACAATCAAGGTGTGAGCCCCAGAGGGGGCTCCCGGGACTCCTGCTGTGGCCACGTCCCTCCAGTCTCTGCCCCTGTCTACACACATCTTCTCCTCTGTGTCCCTGTGTCCTCTCCCCTTCCTATAGGGACACTTGCCATTGGATTTGGGCCCCCCCAATCCAGGTGAGCAGATCTCCAACTGTCCCATATGCATCAATGCATCAGGCTTGGGGGACAGTGCCCAGAGCCTATGGTCCTCTTCTGTCATGGCCCATGGTCAGGGCATGGGCACGTGGCCGCCAGTTGCCAGGGAGGCCCAGGACCTCCAGAGGGCAAGGCCATGCCCCGACGCCCCCACCCTCATCCACTCAGCCACGGCCCTGGGCCATGCTTGTAGGGACTGGCAAGACACTGGTATATTCGCACAGCGAAGGTCCAGGGCCTCTGGGGTTGGAGCGCATAAAGCCCCTCTCTGCCCACCACCCCATGACCACCTGACCTGTGACATGGTCCGTGACCATCCACCCGCATCTGTGTACAAAGTATTGTTAGTTAGCGAGTTTGCTGTTGGAGTTTGTGTGTGCCGTCGCCATGTGAGGGATGGCCCTCCCGTCCCTGCTCTGTTCCCACCTCCCACCTCCGCATGCGCTTCCCCTTCACTCAGGCCCCACCCAGACCCGAGGTGACAGACCTCACCCCTACCTCCTGCTCCCCTCTTAGACACGGTGCTGGGGGCTCCTAGGTCAGGATGGTGCCAAGCCCGCATGCCACAGAGAAGGATCCCAAGGTTCCCAGGGGCTCACAGCAGGCAAGAGCAGAGGTGCATGGAGCCCCTGCAGATGGAAGTAGGGGGAGAAAAGAGCCACTGCCAGATGAGCTGGTCCTGGCAGGAATCTAACAACACCCTGGCAGGGATGGGGAGGTGGTTGGAGGGGGGGCAGTTTGATGAGTAACTATTTGTAAAGGTCAAAGGTTAAACAGGTCTGGAGGCTGATCTCCTGCCTGAGGTGTGAAGGGGGGGGTGGGGTGCTGGGAGAGCCCAGGACAGGGACAGGAGTGGGGTTGTTGGAAGCCCCCAGCATCCCCCGAGGTCCCCGGATGGTCCCCCAGGGCAGAGGTCCCCCAGGGCAGACAGGAGCAGGGCACACAGCTCTGGACCAACAAGAGCTCTGGCCTCAGTCAAGAAGCTTGATTTCAGGTGCCAAACCCCCCAACCCCCGAGGCTCATGTCCTGACAAACAGGAAGTCCGACTCTGCTTCCCTGGGGAAAGTAGGGCTCCCTTCATCCTGCGGGAAATGTCGAGCCCTTTCCCCAGGGCCAGCACTTTCTGCTGGAACATGCCTGTCCCTTTCCCATGCCATCGCCACGCCATCAGCTTCCTGGGCCTGGCCCACAGGAGGATGCTCACCAGCCACCCCACCCATCGAACCCTGAATTTGAGCCCAAGAAGCTGGAGCTGCAGGGTGGGTGAGATCCAGGATGGCTTTCTGGAGGAAGCGGCCCCAGGGGCAGCTGCAGGAGGCAAAGAAGGCTTTCACTTCTCAAGGTATCTTGAGTGAAAAGAGACGCCCCCATGTTAACTTGGCTCAGCACCGGGCCACGTGGGGCTTTCTCACCCACTTTCACTTCCGTGACTATGGTTGAGCAGGGTAGGCGCAGCCAGAGGAGTGGCCCCGGGAGAGGCCAGAGCTGCCTACAGCTAAGCCAGGACTCTTCATCCAGTGCTCCTTCCCAGGGACAACTGCTCTGGATGAGGCCTCAGTAGCTGTTAGCCAAGGGAGTGGAGAGGATGGCGGGGGTAGCTCCTGGGGAGCAAGGAGCTCCCTGGGAGTTCCACCCACCCTCCAAGGGAGCGCCAGGCTGGCAGAGGTGCCCCTGGACTCCATGTCTTTCATATCACTTGTTACAGAGCCGGAGGTCAGGCTGCAGTGGGTACTGGTGAAACTCTTGTCATTAGAACACCGCATGCATGTCCCACTGGCACAGCTGCGGCAGGAAACTGGGCCTGGGGTGACCCTCAGATGGCTGCCCAGGATGGAGGTGGGCACCAGTGGGGATGCTTCTCGTGGCACTTTGCTGAGCTGCGTTGTCATTAGTCATTTTTTGGTCTTGTCTTCGGTCTTTGTCATGTGCAAGAGTGACCTATGAAATATTCAGCTGGATCATATGGCACCTGCATGCCTGCCCTCTCTGCCTGGCTTCCCCCCCTCAGTC